TCTGTTTCTAGACATTTCTCCACTGTCCCTTGTTCTTGTTTTTTTTTTTTTTTTCCTTTTTGGGTCACACCCGGTGATGCACAGGGTTTACTCCTGGCTCTGCACTCAGGAATTACTCCGGGCGGTGCTTGGGGACCATATGGGATGCTGGGAATCGAACCCGGGTCAGCCGCGTGCAAGGCAAACGCCCTCCCCGCTCTGTTATCCTCCAGCCTCCACTCTCCTTTGTTTTGTTTTTGGGGTCACACCCAGTGGTGCTCAGGGCTTACTCCTGGCTCTGCACTCAGAGCGCACTCCTGGCAGTGCTCGGGGGACCACATGGGATGCTGGGAAATGAACCTGGTCATCCAGGGGCTAGGCAAGAGCCCTACCCACTCTCCTATCTCTCTGGCCCCAACCCTTCTTCACTCTGTTTCTTTTTGATTTGGGGGGGGCGATGCTCAGGGGTTACTTGTGGATCTGCACTCAGGAATTACTCCTGGCAGTGCTCATGGGACCATATTGGGTGCCGGGGATGGAACATGGGACGCCTGCATGTTAGGCAAGAGTCCTCCCCGCTGTCCTATTGCTCCGGCCCACCTGATTCACTCTTGTTTTTTTTTCTTTTTGGGTCACATCCAGCAATACACAGGGGGTTACTCCTGGCCCATGCACTCAGGAGTTACTCCTGGCAAGGGTTGGGGACCATATGGGATGCTGGGATTCAAACCCGGGTTGGCCGCATGCAAGGAAAACGCCCTACCCACTGTGCTATCGCTCCAGCCCCCACCTGCTCCACTCTTAACTTTTTGATTCTGAGCAGGGCTGAGGGCCGTTCCTGGGGACACTCGTCCAACTTGAGGGCTGGGGATGTGGGGCTGCTCCGGCCCCCAGGACAGTGACAGAGCAGCAAGAGGCTGCGCAGTGCTGGGGATGGAAGCAGAGCCGGAACACGCAGAGCAGTGCTCTGATTCCTGTGCTCTTCCCCCAGCCCTCTTGACAATCATGATCACGATCATGACCATCCTGTTGTTCGTCGATTGCCTCGAGCAGGTCCCAGTAACATCTCCTTCATCCTAGCCCTGAGATTATATTCAAGGCTCTTTAGGAGAATGAGACCCATCATTGTTACTGGTATTTGGCATATTGGGTACACCATGGGGAGTTTGCCAGACTCTGCCGTGTGGGCAGGTTACATTTGGTAGCCTGTCATTTTGTCCAAAGTAAGAATGAGATAATAAGATGTCGCGCGGCCGCATTCACTTCCAGGAGCTGGGTTTTATAGTCTCTGAGTCTTGGCCGCTGATGGGATTACACGGTGCAGGGGGCCAGTTGGTGGGTGTGACCCCTGCCTACTGGAATATGGAGGATCTGGGTGGAGGATGCTCAGCCCCGATCTGAGCAGGCTTGGAGATCTCAGCCCCGGGACCCACATGCCTTTGTTCCTCTGCTGGTACCTTCATGCGAGCAGAGAGTGGTCTCAGCATGGTGGTGGCTGGTTCTGGAGGTCTTCGGCTGCGGGAGCCCTGGTCGGGGGGGGGAGGGAAACTCAACCCGCTCCCCTCTAAGGGGCCCCGGCAAGGACAGCCAGGCACCAGGGCAGGAGACTCTGCGCTGTTTTCTTCCGGGAGCTGGGTTTTATAGTCTCTGGGTCTTGGCTGCTGATGGGATTACACGGTGCCAGGGGGCCAGTTGGTGGGTGTGACCCCCGCCTACTGGAATTTGGAGGATCTGGGTGGAGGATACTCAGCCTCAATCCGAGTAGGCTTGGAGATCTCAGCCCCGGAACCCGCGTGACTTAGTCCCTCTGCCGGTACCTTCGTGTGTGCGGAGAGTGGTCTCAGCATGGTTGTGGCTGGTTCTGGAGGTCTTCAGCCCTCTTGACATTTCTATTTAATTTTTTGGGGGGTCACGGGGCTGGAGCAAAAGCACAGAGGGTAGGGCATTTGCCTTGCACGCAGCCAACCCAGGGTTCAATCCCCAGCATCCCATATGGACCCCTGAGCACCGCCAGGGGTAATTCCTGAGCGCAGAGCCGGGAGTAACCCCTGTGCATCACCGGGTGTGACCCAAAAAGAAAAAAGAATAAAATAAAACGAATTTTTGGGTCACACCTGGCACTGCTCAGGGGTTTCCCCTGGCTCTGCACTCAGGAATCACTCCTGGCGGTGCTTGGGGACCATATGGGGTGCTGGGGATCGAACCCCGGGTTGGCTGCGTGCAAGGCAAACGCCCTACCTGCTCTACTATTGCTGTGGTGACATTTCTATTTTTAAGATTTTTTTTTAAGTTGAATCATTGTGAGATAGACCCTTACAAAGCTGTTTGTGGTCGGGTTTCAGATTTCAGTCATACAGTCTTCTAACACCGTCCCTCCACCAAGGTTTCCTAGCGCCAGTTCCCCACTTTCCTCTCATTCACATCATCCCCGCCCCCGCCTGCCTCTCTGTGGCAGACACTTTTCTCCTCTCTCTCTCTCTCTCTCTCTCTCTCTCTCTCTTTCTCCTTTTGGACATTGTGGTTTGCAACACAGATACTGAAAGTTTATCTTGTACATCCCATTCCTACTTTTAACACTCAGTTCTTGTTCAGGGTGATTATTTTCAACTATTATTTGACATTTATTTTTTTTGGGCGGGGGGGGGAGTTTTAGGCTACAACTGACAGTGCTCAGGGCTTGTTCCTGGCTCTGCTCAGAAATCCCTCCTGGGGGTGCTCAGGGGCCCTTATGCAATGCCAGGAATCCAACGGGGTGGACAGCCTGCAAGGCAAGTGCCCTACCCTAGTGCTCTATCTCGGGTGTTTATCTGGGGGGGAGACTCTCAAGGACAAACTTTGCTAGAGAAAGGAGCCGCTCCCAGCCTCAGGGGACTGTCCCTGGAGACCAGCTGAGTTCCGAGATTCCAAGATGTCAGGGCAGCTGATGAGGGTGACCCCGCCATGCCCCACCTGTGCCTGACTCAGCAGAACCGGGTCGTGGCGGCGGCGCGGGGGGTGCAGCCAGGCATGTCCGTACAACGGAAGTGAGAGCAATCGGACACGGGCGCTGCCTTGGGGCCAGGAAGGGCGTGACTCAGAGTTGAGCAAGGCTGGGGGTGCGCGGGGCCTGCACGTGGTGAGGAGGTGAACCCCCATCCCCCCAGCTCTGCAGGCCTGGGGCGGGGAGGTGCTCTGGGTGTAGGTGGAGGCTGGAGGCCTGTGAGATCCCATGGGGAATAAAGGCCAATTTGCACGGGGCCCCCCGGGTACCCAGGACACTACGGAGAAAGGCTTGTGCTCCAGGGAGCACGGAGCCAACGTGGTGCCAGACCCAACCATGAAGCTTTAGAGCAAGTCTATCTAACCCCACTGATTTTTTTTTTTTTTTTTTGCTTTTTGGGTCACACAAAGCGATGCACAAGGCTTATTCCTGGCTCTGCACTCAGGAGTTACTCCTGGCAGTGCTCAGGGGACCATACGGGATGCTGGGGATCAAACCCGGATTGGCCGCGTGCAAAGCAAACGCCCTACCCGCTGTTCTATCACCCCAGCCCCTAACCCCACTGATTTCTGTGTCCTGGGGAGGGAGACCGAGCACTCCCCCCACTAACGACCATGCGTTTCCCATCCGTGGTCTGGTCAGGTCTATTCACTCTAACTCACCTGGAGCCGCTTGGCAAACTCCAAGGTCACCTGGGACAGCTGTGTGACCTGGGGCAAGTTACTCAACCTCTCTGAGGCTATTTCCTCTTGGATCGGTGTTCTTCTTTGTGCTTTTGGATCACACTGGGCAGTGCTGGGGCTACCCCTGCCTCTGCTTGGGGACTCTATGAAGTGCTGGGCAACAAATCTGGTTTGGCTACGGACAAGACAAGCCCCTCACCCTGTCCGATCCCTCCCGCTAGACAAAGCCCTCCGACTTGCCCAAAGCGAGTCAGTTCTGTGGAAAGTGCTCGCAGCCACTGGATCCTGGGGAGCCCCGAGTCCGTCATGATTGTTATGATTATATGGCCCATATTTTCTTCACCAAAGCCAAGGTGCCAGGGCTGTAAGCGGCGCCTGCACAGAACAAAGGCAGGCTATGCGCTCCTGCATCCCGGGTCCTTCCTCCCGGGACTGTTTCAGCGGCCTGCAGGAGCACTTTCTTTTCTTTTTTGTTTGTTTATTTTTTTTGGGTCTCACCCGGCGATGCTCAGGAGTTACCCCTGGCTCTGCACTCAGGAATTACTCCTGGCGGTGCTCGGGGGACCATATGGGATGCTGGGAATCGAACCCGGGTCGGCCGCGTGCAAGGCAAACGCCCTACCCGCTGTGCTATTGCTCCAGCCCCTGCAGGAGCACTTTCGACACAGACATCGGGGTGCATCGTATATAATCCCGCTGGTCCCATAAAAGCAGAAATAACTCGTTTATGGTCTTCAGAAAACCCCTTCACGTTTAGAGGCCGACAGAGTGGGGCGTCTGTGGGATTTGAGATCCCCTGGTCCAGTGAGGTAGGAAGTTCAACACCAGCGAGCAGGCCTCTTGCCACACGGGGAGCCCCTCCGGGGCTGGCCGGAGCCGCTTCTCAAACCAGCTTTGCAGGCAGAGGGGCCTTGGAAAATCTGTTCTGGGGCACAGCTGAGAAGTCTGGCTCCCACCATGCAGGGGTCACACCTGGGGTCCTGTGGCTGCAGCACGAGTGGCCCTGGCTTCCGGGGTTTTCCTCCGAGATGGTTGCTGCTGCCGTGTGGGCAGCGGGCACTGCAGTGGACTGTGGTGACTTGGGCACTGTCCTAGGTTTGCACGTGCCACCATCCCGGTGCTTAGTGGGCTTCCCACGGCTGTGCTGCCGGTACCCCGGAGTGCCTGTCACCCACTGTCCCATCTCAGCTCTGAGCCCCCTTGGGGTGTGGGTGTGGCCACAACCGCCCCAGCTGAGTGGAGGCACTGATGCCTGTAGCAGTCGCGGTTTCTCTGGTTTCTCTCTCTCTCTCTCTCTCTCTCTCTCCAGTGGAGGTTAGGGGACCACACCCGGTGATGCTCAGGGCTTACTCCTGGCTCTGCACTCAGGAATCACTCCTGGCTGTGCTCAGGGAACCCTATGGGACCCAAGGGATTGAACCCGGGTTGGCTGCATGCAAGGCAAGTGCCCTCCCCGCCGTACTATCTCTCTGGCCCCATTTTCTTTTCTATTTTTTTTTTCTCTTTCTGTTTTTGGGCCACATCTGGCGATGCTAAGGCCTTACTCCTGGCTCTGCTCTCAGGAATCATTCCGGCAGGGCTCAGGGACCATATGGGGTGCTGAGGATTGAGCCCAGATCAGACACATTCAAGGCAAGCGCCCTGCCCACTGTCTCTCTGGCCCCACCTGTGTTGCTTTTGGGGGGGTCTTCTGGGGATCCCCTCTTTAGCCCTGCTCTGTGCCCTCTGAGTCAAGCAGGCAGAGTTAAGGCAGGGGATGTCTGGAGGGGAGGAAATCATCCTGGAACAAATAGCTTGGGCCACCTCAGAGCTGGAGGAAGTCTGGGAAATATTTGAAGAAAACGGAGCAAGTGAAAGGTGCTGGGGTGTCCCCTCTGTCCCAACTCACCCAGAGGGGCTCCGAGCCCCTTCAGGGCTGCCGGGAGGCCCGAGGTCAAGGTTCTGTGATTCTAAGTGGGGGGAAGGTGGTCCAGGGGTGCTGCGGCCTTGTTCCCGGAGGTGCCGTGGATGTGGGGTGACGCGGTGGCTGAGACGGCTCGGGGTGCACAGGCCTGCCCCCACCGGAAGGAGGAAGCTACACAGGGTGTCTGTGGCCCGCCGCCGGGATCCCCCCCCTGGGGACTTCCTCTTCCTTTCAGACAGGTGTAGCTGCTGCCGCGGGACCAGCGCCCTGACCCCTGCCATGGATGGGGACAAGGCGCCCAGACTCAGGGACTTCCTGAAAGGGAGCCTGGCCAGTTGGGTGAGGGCACCCGGGAGCCGCCTGGGGGTGGCCTGGTGTGGGGGCGGGCGGAGGGCGGGGGTTCGGGGGCCCTTGGGGGGATGAGGGTCTCCAGCGGGGGGGTGGGCAGGAAAGGGAGGCCAGAGGCAAGCGGGCGTGGGGGTTGACCTGCTGGCCCGGCTCTGCTCCCACAGGCCTTGGGACTGGCCCACCTGGTGGGGGAGGCGGAGGAACCCGAGGAGCTAGAGGGGGCGGAGGAAGGAGAGGGGCCCCTCGGCTGGGAGAAGAGCTTCTTGCGTCTCAGCGACGGCGCGCTGCTCCTCCGGGTGCTGGGCATCATGTAAGCGGGACTAGGGCTAGGATGGGTGACAAGGTGCGGTGACACGGTGCGGGAGGCGGGCACCCCGCCCCCCACACCCGGAGGGTGGGCGGGGCCTGCGCGGGGTGGGGCTTGTGAAGGGGCGGATCCTCCGTCACCCCGCCCCCACCCCCAGCGCCCCCAGTTCCCGAGCGGGACCTCGGATGATCAGGGGCCGTGAAGACCCCATAGCCCGGCGGGTGCGGAACCTCAGTCACCTGTGGGGACGTCTGAGGGACTTCTACCAGGTACGGGGCCGAGGGGGGCGGAGCCGGGAGACCCCCTAAGCGGCCCCCGCCGCCAGCATCTCACGCCTACTCGCGCACCCCAGGAGGAGCTGCAGCTGCTGGTCCTGCGGCCTCCCCCGGACCTCCAGAACTTGGGGCTTGACCCCTTCTCAGGTACTCTCTCCCTCCACCCCCTCCTGGCTGTCCCCTGCCCCCTGCACCCCCTAACTGTGGTTCTTGTGCCCTGCAGAGGAGGCGGTGGAGGCGCTGGAGAATGTCCTGCGGCTGCTCCTGGGGGCGGCAGTGCAGGTGAGGGGGGGGCGAGCGGGAGGCTCTGCACCCCTCCCTGCTACACCCCTCTCCAGCCCCTTCCTGTCCTCCCATCTATCCTCTCCTGCCCACCCTCCTGTCCCCCATCTCTTCCCTCCTGTGTGCCCTCTGTGACCCCTGCCCACCCTCCTGCCCCATCTGCCCCCAGTGTGAGCACCGGGAACTCTTCATCCGGAACATCCAGGGCCTCAGCCTGGAGGTGCAGAGCGAGCTGGCCGCTGCCATCCAGGAGGTACAGGCAGGCTCATGGCTCTGCTCTGGGGGACACCCTGTCCCCCGTCTTTCCCTGAGCTGCTTCCCTTGCTGCCCCCATCCCCACCAGGTGACCCAGCCTGGGACCGGGGAGGTGCTGGCGCTGGCCGGGCCCGAGCCCGGGGAGTTGGCGGCCCCGGAACTGGAGCTGCTCTCCCGGAGCCTGATGGGGGCGCTGCTGAGGCTGGCACGGGAGCGTGACCTGGGGGCTCAGGTAGGGGTGCAGGGTTCCCCTGGTCTAGGTGGAAAAGTGGGCCCAGATGCAGGGGTGGGGGGAGAGGAGGGTTGGGGTTCAGATGTGCACCAGGGGTCTTGGGCCCACAGGGCTATAATAGATTCATCTTGGGGTGGTTGGGGACAGATGTGGGGGCTTTGGGATGGGTTACCCTGACCCCTGACCTTTGGCCTCCGACAGAAGCTGGCTGAACTGCTGCTGGAGCGAGAGCCAGCCCCCTTATTGCCTGAGGCTCCCACTAGGACTCCCCCAGAAGGCCCCTCACACCATCTGGCCCTGCAGCTGGCCAACGCCAAGGCGCAGCTTCGACGCCTGCGGCAGGAGCTGTGAGCTTGGAAGGGCCAGGGCTGGGCAGAGGGCCTGGCAGGGCAGAGGGCCCCGTGGATCCTCCAGGACCAGGCCTGGGAAGGAAGGACTGGGGGTGCAGGTTCCCAGGCCCCTCAGTGTCGCTTCCCTCCAGGGAGGAAAAGGCCGAGGTGCTGTTAGACTCCCAAGCGGAGGTGCAGGGCTTGGAGGCCGAAATCCGGAAGCTCCGACAAGAGGTACCCGGGGAAGGGCCTACCACTGCCGCCTCCCCTCCCCTCCCCCTGCCCCTCCTCTCCCTGCCCGAACCTTCCCATCCCGGATCCCAGCTCTGCACCGTCTGGCCCAGGCCCAGACGCTGTCGGGGCAGGCGAAGCGGGCCGAGCTGTACCGAGAGGAGGCCGAGGTGCTGCGGGAGCGGGCGGGCCGCCTGCCCCGCTTGCAGGAAGAGCTGCGACGCTGCCGGGAGCGGCTGCAGGCGGCAGAGGCCTACAAGGGTCGGCTGCAGGTGAGGCGGGGCGGGGCCGCGGGAGATTGGCCCTTGGGGGCGGGGCCTAGGGGCTGTGGGCGGGGCTTACAGTAGGTGGATTGCGTGGGCGGGGCTTGTAGAACGTGGGTGGTGTGGGGGCGGGGCCTATGAGAGCCGGGTTAGTGGGGGCGGAGCCTATGGGAGGTGGCTACATAGGGGCGGGGCCTTAGAAAGTGGGCTTGTAGGGGTGGGGCCTATGGAGGTGAGCCTATGGGAGGTGGGCTGGGGGCGGGGACTTAGAAGGTGGGCTGTGGGGGCGGGGCCTTGGAAGGTGGGCTCGTAGGGGCGGGGCCTATGGAGGTGGGTTAGGTTGGGGGCAGAGCCTACAGGGCGGGTGTGGGGTGGCCCAGGAGCTGGATTTGGAGCCTTGATCAGCACCTTAAACTTCTGAGGGAGCAGTCATCCTTGTCAGAAGTGGGTGAGGTGGTCTCCAGGGCAAGGCCCTCTGGAGGATAGGGCAGCTGGAGGGCAGCGGTGGCCGCTGTTGGGAAGGGCAGGTCCAGGGGAAGGGGGGTCAGATGTTGGGGAGGTGGGGTCTCGAAAGCGCCCCAGCCACTGAATGTCTAGGGATGTCCCCCCTAAGGCAGTTCTGAGGGAGCCAGGACTAGAGACACAGGCTGGGGTGGATGGAGAAGAGGGCAGCGGTACCAGGGGCAGAGCTGCTGAGAGGGATGGTCGCCTGGGAGCTGGGCCTACGTCAGGCGAAGGTGGTCGGGATACTGACAGCATCCCTGGGGCCGGACTGGCCTGTCTGTGTCTGTGCCATCCTGGACCAGGCCTGGCACACCTGGGCGGGCCCCTGCTGGGCGGGGAGGCAGCGGTTCCCTCTGTTCTCCGCAACTCCCCAGGAGGAGCAGCTGCTGTCGGAGGCGCTGGAGGCCTCCAAGGCCCTGCTGGAGGAGCAGCTGGAGGCCACGCGGGAGCGCGCGGCGCGGCTGCACGAGACCCAGCGCGAGAACCTGCTACTGCGCACGAGGCTGGGGGAGGCCCAGGCGGTGAGGCCCCTGCTGGACGGGCTGCCCAGTGCCCCCGGCTAGAGGGTCCCCAGTGACCATGTGAGCCTTGCTCAGAGACCCCGGCCCGAGGGTCCCTACTGACCCTGTGAGCCACACTCAGAAACCCCCGATGACTTTAGCCACAAACTTGGCCTTTTCGGGCGGGGCTGGGGGGCTGGGGTCGATCTCCCGTGACCCCGTGTCCCGCCTGCCAGGAGCTGGGCTCTCTGCGCCACCAGGTTGACCAGTTGGCTGAAGAGAACGTGGAGCTGGAGCTGGAGCTTCAGCGGAGCCTTGAGCCTCCCCCTGGATCTCCCGGGGAGGGTGAGCGGGACCTCAGGGGGTTTCCGGGTAGGGGGCTGGAACATTGCCCGGAGGCTCTGGTGGGGGGGGGACTCTGGGGTGCCAGTGCCAAGGCGGGGAGGGGTCCTGAGCCCTGTCTCTCTCTTCCCAGCGCCCCCTCTGGCGGCAGCCCCCTCCCTTCACGACGAAGTGAGGGAGGCCGAGGGGAGCCGCCTGCGGTCCCTGGAGCGGGAGAACCAGGAGCTTCGAGGCCTGTTGCAGGCGCTGCAGCGCCAATCCAGAGCCTCGGTGAGCTGCGTCCCCACTGCAGGGGCTCCTGGGGGCCTTCCCAGGACTTACCACCCTCTCGTGTGCCCTCAGCACCCCCTGCTGGACGACTTGGAGGTGCCCCGGCTGGAAGCTGCTCCCCAGATCGGCCTCACCCCAGACCACAGCACCCAGAGTTCAGGGACGCCAACCAGGGAGGAAGGCTCTCAGGCCTTGGACTTGGCTGCCCCAACAGCGAACTCTGCCCTTGAGGGACTCGCTGAGTGCCCCCCGTCACCCCACTCTCACCTGCGGGAGCTGGAGGGGCCCCTCCCAGTGGCCGCCCTGGCACCCCCGAACTCGGTTTCACCAGAAACACAGGAGTCCCTAGAGAAGGCCGGCCCTGGGGATTCCCCAGGTCCCCCGGCTTCTAGGGAGCCCCTTCAGGGTCCAGAGATCGAAGTTCAGGGCCCGTTGTCTCGGGGAGGAGAGGCTGAGGCCTTGGGGCCTAGAGACCCAGGGCAGGATCCACCCGGGGCATCCTCAGAGGCTCGAGGGCAGGAGCCCCGGCGGGAGGGGGACCCCAACCTGCCAAGTCCTCAGCACAAGTCAGAAGGGGAGCCCCAGACGCAGGCCTGGGAGGGGCCAGGCCAGGGGGAGAGCCCTGCTGGTGAAGATGCAGAACGGGAGGCCCTCAGGGAGGAGGTGGCCCAGCTAAGGAGCGAGGCCGAGGCCCTGCGAGCTGCACTAGAGACCCAAGCCCGGAGGCTGGAAGCCCAAGGCAACCAGCCAACACCCCAGCACAAGTCGGAAGGGGAGCCCCAGCCACAGGCCTGGGAGGGGCCAGGCCAGGGGGAGAGCCCTGCTGGTGGAGATGCAGAACGGGAGGCCCTCAGGGAGGAGGTGGCCCAGCTAAAGAGCGAGGCTGAGGCCCTGCGAGCTGCACTAGAGACCCAAGCCCGGAGGCTGGAGGCCCGAGGCGTGGAGGCCGCCCGTCTGTCTGAAGAGCTGGCTGAGGCCCGGAAGGTGGAGGCCGAGGCCCACCAAGAGGCAGAGGCCCAGGCCCGGGAACTGGCCCGGCTGCGAGAGGCTGTGGAGGCTGCCGGCCGGGAACTGGAGGCCGCTTCTCGGGAGCGGGAGGCCTTGGCAGAGGCGCTGGCTGCTGCGGGCCGGGAGCGGAGGCACTGGGAGCGTGAGGGGCCCCGGCTGCGGGCTCAGGCCCAGGAGGCTGAGGAGAGGCTGCAGGCACAGGAGAGGGAGGCCCGCCAGCACCTGGAGGAGGCTGCAAGGGAGCGGCGTGAGAGGCAGACGGTCAGCGAGGTACGTGGGGGCTCTCGGAGGGGAAGGGAGGGCTGGGCCTGTGTGAGACATGGACACTTGGTCCCCGGCGCCAGCCCTAGTCACTTACCTCTCTGGCTACTGGTCTCCCCGCGTGCCTCCTGCTGCAGAGTCTTGGGGAGGATCAGGGAGAAAATGCTGTGAAGAGGCTGGCAGGGCTGAAGCAACAATACAGTGGGGAGGGCAATTGCTTTGCAAGCAGCAAACCCAGGTTCAATTCCTGGCATCCTAGATGATCCCCTGAGCACTTCAGGAGTGATTCCTGAGTGCAGAGCCAGGAGTAACACCTGAGCATCATCAGTGTGGCCTCCAAAGCTATATATACATACATATATATATATATATATATGTAAAGCTGGAGCGATAGCACAGCGGTAGGGCGTTTGCCTTGCATGCAGCCAACATGGCCGACCCGAGTTCGATTCCTCCGCCCCTCTCGGAGAGCCCAGCAAGCTACCGAGAGTATCTCGCCTGCACGGCAGAGCCTGGCAAGCTCCCCGTGACGTATTTGGTATTCGATATGGCAAACACAGTAACAATAAAGTCTCCAATGGAGACGTTACTAGGCCCACTCAAGCAAATCGATGATCAATGGGAGGGCCTTTACCTTTACCTATATGTATATACACACATATATGTATATATATCACTATATCACTGTACCACTGTCATCCTGTTGTTTATTGGTTTACTCGAGCAGGCACCTTTCATCCCAGCCCTGAGATTTTAGCAGCCTCTCCTTACTCGTTTTTCCCAACAGTGCTGTATTGGAGGCTCTTTCAGAGTCAGGGGAATGAGACCCGTTATTGTTACTGTTTTTGGCATATCAGATATGCTATGGGTAGCTTACCAGGCACTGCCGTGCGGGTGAGATACTCTTGGTAGCTTGCCGGGCTCTCTGAGATATGTATATATATATATATATACACACTTTCTTCTATGATTTGTTGCCTACTCTCAGAACCCCATCAAATATGGTGTGGTAATTATGGAAAATGGGTAGAGAGTGTCTTATGATGTGTCCAGGAATATGTTCACTCATATGTGAGGCTCAGCCCAAGCATGTGGGAAGTGGCCTGGAGCGTGGCGGTGGTTGGGTAGTGGAGATTGGCTACCAGGGCTGGGTCCCTTGGGGAGGGGAGGGCTCTCACCCGACTCCCTCTGGGGCGCCCTGAGTGAAAACAGCTTGGTGCAGAGTCCGGTGGCATGGTTATGGGGGCCTCATTTTATGCTCCCTTCCGGAAAAAGCAGTCGTGAGTTCTGGAGGGTGGCTGATGAGATTATCTGGCGCTGGCCGGAGGTGGCTTATGGGTGTGACCCCTGGGTCGCCGGACACTGCAGGGAGCAGGCAGAGGATCTCTGCTCCCGGGTCCCGTTGAGCCATAATTATTTTTTAAAGGGCTGCCTAGTGTGTGCTAAGCAGGGGTTCAAACGCTGACCTCTCTGGAAGGAGGATCCAGGGGGGTTCAGAGGAATGATCTTGAGTCCCACTGGTGGGGCAGGGGTGTCATTCTAAGCGGACAGCGTAGGAGGATTGAAAGCAGCTCAGGGGCCAGGGGCTGGGGAGGCGGCCCCGGGTTGGAAAGGTGGGAGTGGGAGTGAGCCGACGTCTCTTTGGTCTTCAGGGGACCCCAGGGAAGGTTGGGAAGGAGAGAGATGTCTGGAAGCCCCCCCCACTTTTCAGGGATGAGACTGCTCTTGCCGTGCTTGGGGTACCAATCAGTGCGGGGATCAAATTCTGACTTTCTACATGCAAGGGCTGCACCCCAGCCCCATGGGAATCCCTTTTATTAATCACTAAAACTTTTTTTTTGGGGGGGGAGCGTGGGTGGGGGAATCCCCAGTGGTGTTCAGGGATCACTCCTGGTGCTGCTCAGGGGACCCTACGGGGTGATGAGGATGGAACCCAGGTTGGCCACGTGCAAGGCAAGCATCTCGCCTGCGTTGTGGTCCCTCCAGCCCTTCTGAAGCCTCTCCTCAACAGCAGGCACCTAGGTCACAGTCAGGGCTGGAGATAGGACCGAGTGGTGGGGGTTCAGGATGCCAGCAGGGGCGGCCTGGAAGGCTTCCCGGAGGAGGAGGGGAGGATGGCAGGGAGGAGGGAGTGTGGTTTTGGGGGTGAGGGGTGCAGGAGACTGATTCTGCAGGGTTTCCACTGAGCAGGCTTCCTTCCAGGCTGGTGCAGCTGTTTTCCTGAGCACAACAGGCAGCCTCGGGTGCGGTCCCTGAGTAGAGGGGGCAGGAGGAGGGGCGAGAGGTCTCAGGAAGCTGAGGAGTGGCCTGGGAAACTGAATCTCCCCTGGGCCAGGACTCTGGGGTTCAGAGAAGAGGCGACATGTGCTAAGGGAGGGTGGACCTGTGCCAGGTATAGTGCAGAACGGGCCTGGGAGTAGTCAGACCCTGAGGTTGGCCCCAGGGCCACTGCTCTCTCCATGTGACTGAGCTAAGTCATCGGTGATATCCAGGTTCTGCTCCTGCTTAGCAGCTGTGTGACTTGGGGCAAGTTACATAACCTCTCTGAGTCTCACGTTTCCTCACCTGTAACCGGAATCAGAGAGCGTTTGACTCACAGGCTCCCGGAAGAACCTCAAGTCAGGAGCTTGGAGCCGAGCCTGGCACGCAGAAGAGAGGGAATGCCGGCAGGTGGGCAGTGAAAGTGAGGACAGGGCTGAGCACGGGGCTGGCCAGCTGGGAGAGCCACCTGGGGGCGCAGAGGGCAGGGGAGACTGAGCACAGAGGGGAATTTTCTCAGACTTCCTGGTCAGAGCGGTTTCTGCTATTAATTTTTTTCTTTTGGTTTTGGGGCTACCCCTGGTGGTGTTCAGAGGTTATCCTGGCTCTGCACTCAGGAATTACTCCTGGTAGTGCATGGGGGGACCCCTCTGGGATGCCGGGGATTGAACCCGGGATGGCTGCATGTAGGGGAAGGGCCCTCCCCACCGTCTGGTCGCTCCAGCCCTGCAGTTTCTGCTCCTGAGCGGGTGTGGAGCAGGAGCACGAAGGAGAGCTGGGCCCTCCTGGGCTGGTGGCGCTGGGAGTTACTGGAGCCCAAGCCGGGGTCGGGTCACCCTCCTCCACACCCCTTCTCTTGCACCCTTCCACTCTTTCGGCTTCCTACAGGCATCGGAGTCTCTTGGAACTTGTAGTTTTCCAATGCGAGGCAGGGGCACTGGGTGGCCCTGGGGTGGCTCAGATGGGATGCCTCACCCTGGAAGACCAGCAAGAAGGCTGGTGAGGGGGACAGGTGGCTCATCCTCTCAGGACCCCTGCTCCCCCCTACCCTGCACCTCAGAATGGTTTGGCCTCCCTGGGGGGGGGCAGCCTCCTGCCCACTTCTGCAATGGTTTGTTCCAACTGCCACAAGATACCTGGCCCTTCTCCAATAAGCAGCCCCACTGGCCTTCACAGAGCAACTGTGTCTTCTGTGGCCTCGTGGCTGTGACTACACCTCCCTCCTGCTCTTGCATGGGCCGCCTGGCCTGCACATGTGGCGGGCACCCAGCCTTCCCTGGACACGTGAGGAGCTATGGGCTCAGAGAGGTGAAGACCATGTGGGGGGGGGGGGGCCTCCTTTGCAGCCAGCCGTCCCGGCTGCCAACCCCAATCCTTTGAGAACCACGCACAAGGCCACCAGCCTTTGCCCCCATTTTACAGATGGAGAAGTTGAGGCTTGAAAGCCAGCAGCAATCCTGACTCTCTGAACCCTGGGGTGAGGGTGGGGGGGCCTCCTGCTGGCCCTGAACCTGCCCCGTCTGCCCGCAGGAGCTGGAGAAGGCTATGCTCCGGGGCCAGGAGCTGGGGGCTCGGCTGGAGCGGCTGCAGGGTGAACTAAAGCAAGCGGCTCTGGAGCGCCAGGAATTTCTGCAACAACAAGAGTGCCAACACCAGAGGTGGGGATGGTGCCCGAGGGGCTCGGACGGGCAGATTGGGGGCTGAGGGGCAGGGGTTGGTGCCAAGGCTTTACCTGGCAGGTACCAGGGCCTAGAACAGCGGTTGGAAGCTGAACTGCAGGCAGCAGCGACCAGCAAGGAGGAGGCGCTCCGGGAACTGAAGAACAGGGCACTGCAGCTGGAGGAGGAGCTGTTCCAGGTGAGGGCCCGGGCTCCGTCCAGCTGTGTGTCTGCTGGAACTGAGTGTGGGGCGATGGGGCCCAGGACTGGGCGGCTGTCCCCAGGAGCTCACCTGGGAAAGAGGCAAGAAAATAGGCACTTTTTTTTTTTTTTTGGCAATTTGGGCCACACCTGGCCATGCACAGGGGTTACTCCTGGCTCTGCACTCAGGAACTACTGCTGGCGGTGCTCGGGGTGACCATATGGGATGCTGGGAATTGAACCTGGGTCGGCCGCGTGCAAGGCAAATGCCTTACCTGCTGTGCTATCGCTCCAGCCCCAAAACATGTGCTTTTTTTTTTCTTTTTGGGTCACACCCGGCGATGCTCAGGGGTTCCTACTGCCTCTGCACTCAGGAATCACTCCTGGTGGTGCTCGGGGCAACCATTTGGGAATCGAACCTGGATCGGCCGCGTGCAAGGCAAACACCCTATCCACTGTGCTGTCACTCCAGCCCCAAAACAGGCGGTTCTTACCTGGCTCCCCAGGCCCTCCAAGCGGGCACTGTGAGCAGTTCCCTGGGAGGAATATGAAGACACGGTGTAGCAGGGGCCACAGAAGGCTGGAGCCCGGAAGTCAGGCTGGCTCTGCTGCAGAAGCCAGCAGGGATGCAGGGAAAAGGGCCTCAGGGAGGTGATGGAGGGATGTGGGCAGTGCTAGTGCTGCCCCAGTAAACGCACTCTGGCTAATGTCTCAGTTGCCCCTCCCCCTAAGTGTGCCACCCTCCCTCTCTCCTCCTAGCTGCGCCAGGGCTCGAGGGGGCTGCAGCCGGAGGACTGCGCTGAGCGGGTGATCCCGGAGGTCCACAGTGGGCGGCTCATCGAGGTGGAGCGCAGTGTGAGTCGGGGTCGGTGGGGGGACCCTCCACTCATCCTCTTCTACGACGACTGACCGCCCATCTCCCCAACCCCCTCGGGCAGAATGCCACGCTGGTGGCTGAGAAGGCGGCGCTGCAGGGGCAGCTGCAGCGTCTGGAGGGACAGCTGGGGACCTTGCAGGGCCGGGCCCAGGACTTGCTGCTGCAGAGCCAGCGGGCCCAGGAGCACAGCAGCCGCCTGCAGGTGGGTGCTCCCGCCCGGGCCCCGCCCCCTCACGGCTCCGCCCCGCTGGTTCCGGCCCCGCCCTACTGGCCTGGGGAGGCCCCAGTAGGCCCCGCCCACACACGACCACGCCCACCTATATAGTCCCCGCCCCTTGCAAGGGTCCCGCCCCTTCCCTTGTCCCTCCACCTTCGCTACTCTTGGCCCCTTCCCCAACTCCTAGCCAATTCCCTCGACCTATTCTTTTTAGTCGCCTGGATTGGTGCCCTCTGAACCCAGAATGGGTTCCATTCCCCTTTTCCTCACCTCTGCCCACGCGGCTGGCCTCTTTCCTGCTTCTGGTCCCCACTGCTGAGGCTGTTCCCCCCGCCACGCCTTGCCCCCATTTCAGTCCTGTCCTCTCTGGCCAACCCTTAACCCCACGCTGTTCCCTACTCCCATCTCAGCCCGCTCCGGCCTTCCCTGCCTGGTGCCTCTGGCCTGCCCCTCCCCAGCCTCTCCTTGCACCCCACTCATGCTGGGGCTCCCTCTGCATCCATCCCTGTTTTCGGATATGCCCTTGGCCACTTGTGAATTCCCCCCCCAGCCCCAGCCTTTCCCCCGTTCCGGATTCTGCCCCCTTCACCACCATCCCTGCCTGCAGCCTCTTCCTCTGCCCTAGGCTGAGAAGTGTGCCCTGGAGAAGCAGGGCCAGGAGCTGCACCGGAAACTGGGGGTGCTGGAGGAGGAGGTGCGGGCCGCCCGGCAGTCCCAGGAGGAGACCCGGGGGCAGCAGCAGGCCCTGCTGCAGGACCACGAGGCGCTGGCCCAGCTGCAGCGGCGACAGGAGGCCGAGCTCGAGGGGCTCCTGGTCCGCCACCGGGACCTCAAGGCCAACATGCGGGCTCTGGAGCTGGCCCACCGGGAGCTGCAGGGCCGGTGGGTCTGCGCCCCCAGACGCGGCCCCCGAGCTGCTGTGCGCACACCTGGGGTAGCATGCCCATATTTTTAAAATTTTTTTTTGGGGGGGATGGTGAACTGCTGCTGATTCTCTACTCAGGGCTGCTCTTAGCAATGCTGACGGGACCGTGTTCTGAGGAGCCGGCAGCCCCCTGAACCCTCTCTGGCCCTTGCCCACCCTTGTGCCCATGTTCACCTATCCTGGACGGTGTGTGTCCCAGTCATGGGTTCTGCCCTAAGGCAGTGCTGGAGGGCCTGGATACAGACAGAGCCCGGCCCTGGGGTCCTGCAGTGTCTCTGTGGTTATGTCACTGCAGAGGGGACCATACCTGGCCGTGTCGAGGCAGCAGATGGGCCAGCAGGGAATGACTGGACCCCAGGACCACTTACACCACTGGGCTTGCACCACTAAGCCATCGCCTCTTCCCCTTGTCCACCCAGCCATGAGCAGCTGCAGGCCCAGAAGGTCAGTGTGGAGTCCCAAGAGGTGGCCCTGCTGGCGGAGCGGGAGCGCCTGGTGCAGGACGGACATCGGCAGCGGGGCCTGGAGGAGGAGCTGAGGAGACTGCAGGCAGAGCACGACAGGTGGGGGAAGGGGGCGCCCAGCCCTTCCTCCACATTCCCATCTGTGAAGTGGGTTCACGGTCGCCCGCCATCCACAGGGCCCAGATGCTGCTGGCCGAGGTGTCCCGGGAGCGCGGGGAGCTGCAGGGCGAGCGCGGGGAGCTGCGGGGCCGCCTGGCGCGGCTGGAGCTGGAGCGGGCGCAGCTGGAGGCGCAGAGCCAGCGGCTGCGTGAGTCCAACCAGCAGCTGGACCTGAGCGCCTGCCGGCTGACCACGCAGTGCGAGGTGAGGGGCGGGCGGACGGGTGCGGGGCGGGAGGCGCAGGACGGCTCCCCTCCCCCCCACAAGGGGCCCTCACAGCCCCACTCCCCGCGGCCCTGCTCCCCGGCAGCTGCTGACGGAGCTGCGCAGCGCCCAGGAAGAGGAGAACCGGCAGCTCCTGGCCGAGGTGCAGGCCCTGAGCCGTGAGAACCGCGCGCTGCTGGAGCGCAGCTTGGAGAGCCGCGACCACCTGCACCGCGAGCAGCGCGAGTACCTGTGAGCGCCGAGACCCCGCCCCGGGGGGCTCAGCGGGGCGCAGACCCGGGCGCTGGGGCCTCCCCTCACGCCCGCCCCTCTCCCTCCGGGCCCACCCCCCAGGGACCAGCTCAACGCCCTGCGCCGCGAGAAGCAGAAGCTGGTGGAGAAAATCATGGACCAGTACCGCGTGCTGGAGCCTGGGCCCCTGCCCCGGACCAAGTGAGCGGCTCCCGCCCGCCACCGCCACCGCGCAGGCCCCCGGGGGTTGGCCTGGCCTCGTCTCTCCCGGCCCCACCCCTCACCCACACTGGGCCCTCGCCCTCCCGCCTCCCTGGCCTTACCCCCTCTTGTGCCCTCTTGCCCCCAGGAAGGGCAGCTGGCTGGCAGACAAGGTGAAGAGGCTGATGCGGCCCAGGCGGGAGGGGGGCCCCCCTGGGGGGCCGCGCCTGGGGGCCGATGGGGCTGGAAGCACCGAGAGCCTGGGGGCCCTCCCAGAGGCGGAGCTGCCCGAGGGCCGGGAGGCAGATGGGACAGGTGGGTCTGGGTGCAGTGACCAGGATGGTCCCACCCCCTGTCTGTTAGCCTTCCTGCGGGCTGACCCCCGCTGTCCCCTTCCTTGCCTGCGCCTCAAATACTCTCCCCTGGGGGTCCCCCGCCCCCAATGTTTCCAGTTGCCCTTGGCTCTGCTTTCCTCTTGGCTGGCATTTCCCGCTACCTGCTGTGCAGGGGACCTAGTGACAGAGGCCACTCGCGAGACCTCAGCAGCAGGGCCGCGGGGAGTGATGGGTGGCAGGGACTCTGGGGCCAGCCCCCCCTCCACACCCCTCCAGCTCCACTCCCAGCCCCTCCCCCCGCCCTACTGCCTCATCCGCTGGTCAGGCTCTGACCCCCACACCCCCCCCCACCCCGGTGCCTTTGGCAGGGTCCCCCTCCCCGGCACCCATGCGCCGGGCCCAGAGCTCTCTCTGCCTGCGAGACGAGACTCTGGCCGGGGGGCAGCGGCGGAAGCTCAGCTCCCGGCTCCCGGTGGGCCGAAGCTCTGAGTCATTCAGCCCGGGGGACACCCCCCGTCAGAGATTCCGACAGCGAAGACCGGGGCCTCTGGGCGCACCCAGCTTCCAGGGCAAAGGTGAGGGACACGAGCGTGAGCCCCCCCATTTCCTCACGGGGTGGGGCTCCCTGCCTGGTGTCTGCCCTCCATGCCTGTGTCTGCCCCCAGGAGCTGGCGCGGGATGGGGGGGGCTCTGTGGAAACGCTGTCGGAACACGAGACAGATGCCGATGGAGAGGGTGAGTGGGGCACTGAGCCATGGGGGCGGGGAGGGGGCGCCAAGCGGCTGCAGAGAGAGCTCATGCACAGTGGGTGGGTCCTGGCAGCCCCTTGGGTTTTCTTGTTTGGGGGACCACACCCGTTGGTGCTCGGGACTTTTTCCTGCCTCTGTGTCCAGGGTGGCGCCTGGCAGGCTTGGGGGACTGTATAGTGCCAGGGTTGAGCCTGGTCAACCGTGTGCGGGACGACGCCTTCCCTGCTGTCCTGTTCATGTGGTCCAGGCCTTACGAGCATCAGTGACACTGTGCTTAGCCTGGCGGACCTGACAGGACCTGAGAGTGGATCTGACAGGACCTGGGAGCTGGGTGCTGGCTGATGAGCCCCCAGGATGGGCGCGGCTGCACTCACCAGCCTAGTTAGACCCCCCAGCACAACAGCCGAACTCCGATTGAGCCCTCTTAAGGATTTGATTTTCTTTTTTTTGGTCTATATTTTATTTGGGCTGGAGCGATAGCACAGCGGGTAGGGCGTTTGCCTTGCACGCGGCCGACCCGGGTTTGATTCCTCCGTCCCTCTTGGAGAGCCTGGCAAGCTCCCTGTGGTGTATTCGATATGCCAAAAACAGTAACAGTAACAACAAGTCTCACAATGTAGATGTTATTGGTGCCCACTCGAGCAAATCAATGAACGGGAGGACAGTGCTACAGTGCATATTTTATTTATTTTTATTATTTTATTTATTTTTTTTACTGAATTTCTGTGAGATACAGTTACAAAGTTGTTCATGATTGGGTTTCAGTCATACAGTGTTCCAACAGTCCTCCCTTCACCAGTGGACATTTCCCACCACCAATGTCCCCAGTTTCCTCCAACCATCCCCCAGCCTGCCTCTATGGCAGACACTTTTTTGTTGCTAATTAATTTATTTTTCAATCGAATCGTTTTGAGATATGCAGTTAGAAAGTTGTTCATGATTGGGTTTCAGCAGTCATACACTGTCCCAACGCCCGTCCCTTCACTGTGTACGTTTCCCACCGCCTAAATCCCCAGTTCCCTTCCTGTGCCCCCTCTCCCACAAGGCCTGCCTCAGTGGCAGGCACTTTTCTTCTCTGTCTCTGTCTCTGTCTCCCTCTCTCCTTTGGGGCTTTATGTAACTGCACTACAGATGCTGAGAGGTTTTCATGGATGTCCCTCAACCTCCTTTCAGCACTCAGTTCTTGTCCAGGGATCATTTCCAACTATCATTGTCTTAGTGGTCCCTTCTCTATCCTAACTGTCTTCTGCTCCCCACACACTTGTGGCAAGCTTCTGACCTTGGAGCGGTCCTCCTGGCCCTTGTTAGTCTCATACTATTTATATATTTTTTAATATACCACAAATAAGTGCAGTGCAGTCATTCTATGAATGACACTTTTCTTCTCTCCGTCCCTCCCTCCGTCTTCCTCTTCCTCTCTCTCTGTCCTTTTAGGTGAAAGATTATTCATGGTTTGATCTTCATGTGGGGTCATGGGCTGTTTCTTTCTTTTTTTTTCTCTTTTGGGTCACACCCAGTGATGCTCAGGGGTTACTCCTGGCTCTGCACTCAGGAGTTACCCCTGGCAGTGCTCAGGGGGCCATATGGGATGCTGGGAATCGAACCCGGGTCGGCTGCGTGCAAGGCAAACGCCCTCCCCGCTGTGCTATCGCTCCAGCCCGGTCCTGGGGTGTTTCTACCCACCCTCTGGTGCCCTGGGAGCCTGTGGGGAGGGGGCGGTGCTCTGGGGTGAAGGGGAGGGAGGAAGGGAGAGAGGGAGGGAGATGAGGGGTGCTGGGAGGGCAGCTTTAGCGGGACACTCAGGAGAGGCCACTGGAAGAGAACTTGGGGAGTGGGTCACTGGGGTGTCTGGGGGTCTCGGGGGGATTTGCAGCAAAGGCCAGTGGCGGGTGGCCAAGGCGACTGTGTGGCTGTGGAGGAGGCCCCCAGCCCCGATCACTGCCCCCCCGGGGAGGGGGCCTGAGCCAGCCTTTCCCTCTAGCCCTCCCGCAGGACCCGGAGAAGTGTCCTCTCGCCCCGTCCCTCAGCCAGTGACACCTCGGCGTGGCCTGCGACCGTGACACTGCCACCCACTCGTCGCTGCAGCTTCCCGGGAGGATCCTGGCAGTCCAGGAACTGGGGGTCTGAGGGCCCCTGGAGCGAGTGTCTGGACTGGGAGCCCTGCCCGAGGCCCCCCCGCAGGAGCTGGGCCCACTCGGTGAACAGTGGGGAGGGTGGCCCCGTGCGAGCAGCGCCGTCCTGGGGCGCGGGCAGTGCGCCCCTCGCGCAAGAGGCTGTCTCGGGGGATACCTGGTCCTGGCGGGGAGCTGAGGACTATTCCCTGCGGTCTGGGGCCCGGGCTCAGCCCTGACCTCAGCTGTGTGTGTGTGGGGGGCGTGAAAATAAAGCTGCACAGCACCCCGACTCCTGCCTACTGCTGGCTTCCACGGGGTGGGGTGGGGCGGCCATTGGCCTTCTGGCCTGCAGCAGGCTTTGTGCCAAGAGGGGGTCTTGCCTGGACGTGGCAGGGGGCGCTGTGCTACCGGCAGCGTCTCATCAAAGGGCCCGAGTCTGGACTAAGCCACAGGGCAATAAGGTCACCCCTTCCCTCGTCCCTTCTCTTGGCCTCTACCCCACCCTGTCCCTCTGCATTTAGGGCTGGAGCCCTCCCTGGGGAGCTGTCACCCAGCATCAGGCCAGGCCACGGGGCTGTCCCAGGAGGTGGGAAGGAGCTGGGGTCTCCTGTCAGGCTTGGGATTCGGGGTGCCGCCCAGGAAGGGGGCAATTACTCTGGGCGGAGGAGGTGAGTCAGAGCTCTGGGCCGCCCCGGTAGAGCAGGGCGCGGCTGCCGGGGCTCAGGTGAGGTGGCCCCATCTAGGGGGCCGAGCTGGGAGGGTGCCCCACATGGCCTGACTCACGGGCTTGTGCCGCCCACCTGGGGGACATAGCCCCCCTCACCCTGCCCTCCTCTGCTGAGCCTAGACTGCAGGGGCTAGTGGGGTTTGAAGGGACCCCCCCAGCCACTGAGTGTGTGTGTGTGGGGGGGGTGGCAACTGAGAGCCGCTTCCACTTGCATCTCCTCAGCCCTTTAGTTGTTGGGGGGGGGGCACTGTGCAGCTGAGACACCCCCTTATGAGGCTCTGGCTGGATGCTGCCTCGCGGGGAGCAAGCCTGAGCCAGAACCAGCCGCCCAAAGAACTGTGTCGAGGGAGAGGGCACAGTTGGCTAGGAAGGGGGCGCCGTGGGCAGGACCCTATGCCATGAGTTGTGGGGGTCCTCCAGGGTAGGAGGACCCCAGATCAGGGCTTGGTCCTCAGGTGCATGCGCCCCCAACCCCCCCCCCCCCCCACTAGGGCCACCTGTGTGGGTGGGCATGTGGGGAGGACACAGTTCCCCACCCCACCCCCATTGCACCCAGGGGGTGTGGGCACTGAGCAACAGGCTCTGACTAGGGGGCTGCTGAGTGGTCTCAGGGGACCCCTAAATCCTCTGGGGTCTGTGCGGGTTCTGCAGGGTCAGAGAGCCGCTGGGGCCGCTGCGACTTCCCGGAAACGCCTCCTTTTTGCCCAGAGCTGAGAATTGGGCCGAGCCTGGCTGGCACTCGGAGGGGAGGGCCCAGCTCTGCGTGCCTGTGCCGGGCGCCCCTCCCTGCCTCGGGGCAGAGGCTCCCGCCGCCGCCGTCGTCTCATGCCCTGCAGCTTTGGCGGGCATCCCGGGGCCTGCACCCCCGGGAGGAGCCTCTGGGTGGCCCCCGAAGCCACTGCACGCCTCGGGGGTGGGGGGGATTCCCAGGCTCCGACGAGGGGCTCCGCGGGGACCCCGTGCCCGCCCAGCATCCAGCCCCGGCGCCCCGGGCACGGGAGCTCGCGCTGCCCCCGCCTGCCCGCTGTCACGTTCCAGCCGCCTGACTCAGGCCGGCGGGGCGGGGAGCGGGAGGCGGCGCCGGCGCCCGCCTCGGCCCGGAGGCGGCACCAGGAAGCGCCCGCCCCGGCCCAGCCGCCATGTAACCGGCGCCTCCCGGAGCCCAGCGCGCGGGCCCGACACCCGCAGGACATGGGGGACGAGGACGAGGACGAGGGCTGCGCCGTGGAGCTGCGGATCACGGAAGGTGGGGCCGGGGCGCGGCGCGGGGGCGGGTGGGGGGGGGGCGCCCGGGCCGGCGGGGCTGCAGGCTCAGGAGCCCCCGTGTGCCCGCAGCCAACTTGACGGGGCACGAGGAGAAGGTGAGCGTGGAGAACTTCGAGCTGCTCAAGGTGCTGGGCACCGGAGGTGAGGACCCCCCGCCCCGTCCCCCGGGGGTCGCGGCCGGGGCCCCGGGCACGCCCGCAGAGGCCTGGCCGCCCCCAGACCCCCGCCCTTTCCCGGCACGGCCCGCCCCGCCCTGCCCACGCAGATGCTCCGGCATCGCGCTCCGGGGGTGCCACCCTTGGGGGGCTTGCCGCCCCCCGCCCCGCGGGGCCGTGCCGGGGCGCGCGCCGCCAGCCCGCCTCGGCCCCAGGCCCCGCCCCCTCGCCGCCGCCTCCCGCGCCGCGCCCTCTTATCTGCCCGCACGGTCCCCCGCGCCCCCCGCCCAGCTGCCACCTCCTGCGCGGACACAGTTTCCTGCTCCCCCTCCCCGGCCTGCAACCTGCAAACCCTCCCTCCCGCCACCACCATGCGATGCCGAACACCCCCTGGGGGATGCACCCTTCACCCCCTCCCCCCCAGGCTCTGCCAGTTCTTGGCACCTTTGCCTCCTCTGAGCATCCCTCTCCTCCCCCCACCCGGCACCCCGCCCCCTGCCAGCCCCCTGCCCGCTCTGCCCCCTCCCGCTCACGGCCTCCTCCTCTCCGGCTCCCGCAGCCTACGGGAAGGTGTTCCTGGTGCGGAAGGCGGGCGGGCACGACGCGGGGAAGCTGTACGCCATGAAGGTGCTGCGCAAGGCCGCGCTGGTGCAGCGCGCCAAGACGCAGGAGCACACGCGCACCGAGCGCTCGGTGCTGGAGCTGGTGCGCCAGGCGCCCTTCCTGGTCACGCTGCACTACGCCTTCCAGACGGACGCCAAGCTGCACCTCATCCTGGGTAGGGCGAGGGGGGCGCGGGGGCGCGCGCCGGGGGGCACGCCGGGCGCGGACCCCCAACCTGCGCTGCACCCCCAGACTACGTGAACGGCGGCGAGATGTTCACCCACCTGTACCAGCGGCAGCACTTCAAGGAGGCCGAGGTGCGCGTGTACGGGGGCGAGATCGTGCTGGCCCTGGAGCATCTGCACAAGGTGGGCGCCGGTCCCGGGCTGGGTGCGCGGGGGCCGCCCGCGTCTGCACGCAGCGGGTGCGGTATAGCTGTGCGTGTGTGTGTGTGTTCTGTGTGTGTGGGGGGGTTGCGTCTGTGAAGTGTCGGTGGGGTGTATGCTTGTGTGTGGGATGTTTATTCTGCAGTAGAGTGTGTGTGTGGGGTCTGTGTGTGGTGTGTGTCTGTATAGTATTGTGTGCGGTGTGTGGGTGTTTGTTCTGCGGTACTGTGTGTGTGTGTGTGTGTGTAGAGGGGCGTGTACATGTGATATAGCATGGTATAGTGCATGTGGTGTGTGATGTGTGTGTGTCTGTGGTAAGTGTGTGGGGTGTCTGGTGTGTGTGTGTGTTCGTGGTATAGCGTGTGGGTTGCCCTGCCCTGTGGCGTGTGTGTGAATCTGTGGTATACTATAGTGTGGTGTGTGTGTCTGCAATATAGTGTGTGGGATGCTGGTGTGTGTGTGTGTGTCTGTTGGTGGAATAGTGGTGTGTGGGCTAGTGTGTGGGCTCTCCTGTGGTGTGTGTGGTGTGTGTTTGTATGTCTGTAGTATAGTGTGTCCTTGTGGTGTGTGTTTGTGTATGTGGTATGTATGTGTGTGATAGAGTGTGTTGTGTGTGTGGTATAACATGTGGAGTGTGTGTCTGTGGTATGTGTGCGGGCTGCCTGTGTGGTGTGTGTGTGTGTGTGTCTGTGGTTTACTATCGTGTGTATGGTGCGTATAAGGTGTGTGTGGTACATGTGTCTATGGTAAAGTGTTTGTGTGTTGTGTGCATGTGTGTCCTCAGTGGGAGGAGGGTGTCCTCCCTTCCTGGTGGGGTCCCCTCCCCTGCTGCAGGGGGCTTCCCGTTGGCACCTCAGAACTTCCTCAGCCAGAGCCCTGAGGCCTCAGCCCTGGCGGCTTCTGAGCTTGGGACTCTCCACAGCTTCCCACTCTTTTTTGGGGGGGATCTGGCATGCCCCGGGGCTGCTCCGCCTCTGTGCTGGGGGTCACTCGTGGGCCCGTGTGCTCATGCGCTGGGAATGGACCGGGCCTTTCGGATGCCTGGACCTTGTTCCGCCTGTGCACTGCTGCCCTGGTGCCTGACTCCTGGGCAGGGCTGGGGCGGGGGTGCGGGCAGGTACCTCAGTGGTCCCGGTGCTCCCTCCAGCTGGGCATCATCTACCGGGACCTGAAGCTGGAGAACGTGCTGCTGGACGCCGAGGGCCACATCGTCCTCACAGACTTCGGGCTGAGCAAGGAGTTCCTCACAGAGGAGGTGAGTGGGCCATGCTGCCCTTCAGGCCGGGGCTGGCGACCGTGGTCGTGCTAACGGGTGCTCTCGCCCTTCCAGAAAGAGCGCACCTTCTCCTTCTGCGGCACCATCGAGTACATGGCCCCTGAGATCATTCGCAGCAAGTGGGGGCACGGCAAGGTGGGTTGTGGGGCGGGTGGGGAGGGTGGGGGCGGGGCGGCGGCAGCGGCGGGCGCTCATGGGTGCCCCTGCAGGCCGTGGACTGGTGGAGTCTGGGCATCCTGCTCTTTGAGCTGCTGACCGGGGCCTCGCCCTTCACGCTGGAGGGGGAGAGGAACACGCAGGCCGAGGTGTCCCGGTGAGCGGGGCTGGACGCAGAGGGCGGCTGAGGGGCTGTGGGGAGGGGGGCTCGCGGCCCCTGACGCGCCCCCCATCCTCCCAGACGGATCCTGAAGTGCTCCCCTCCCTTCCCTCCCCGGATCGGGCCCGTGGCACAGGACCTCCTGCAGCGGCTCCTTTGCAAGGACCCCAAGAAGCGGCTGGGCGCGGGCCCCCAGGGGGCACAGGACGTCAAGAATCACCCCTTCTTCCAGGTGAGGATCCTAGCTGCACCCCTCAGCTGCGTCCCCCTAACTCTCTGCGGGCT